ATATATATATATATATATCATCATCAATAGGAATATAATTCTATATCTTCGTTCGTTTTATTATTTTTTTTTCTTCTTCCATGTTTTAGTAATGTCTCTGGAGGATTCACGACGTTCTCAACGACCGTACAGATACGGTATGGTCCTTTTATGCGTTGGAGCTTTGATAAATTGGCTAGGACTTGCGGAAAATTATGTCGAACCAGTACGATACGTTGGAGTCGCTTGCATAGTAGCAGGGGCACTTTTGATTTGTGCAGCTATGTGTTGCTGGTTACACGCGCCGCCAACTCGGACTAGCACGCACGCGCAACACGCGAATCATCCAATCACGGCCCAGGTAATTTATCATTATTATGAACGAGAAACTAGAGATTCACAATTCGCTCGTTCTACTTTTATAAGAGAGAAATAATTTCATTTTAATCCGTGCCATCCGAAAATCTTGGAAACGTGTTGTTCGAAACGTTACGAGAAACAGATATGTGATAATCGATTAATATTGTTTTCCCCCTTCGATAATAATTAATCGAATGTATTGATTTATATGTAGAAACTAACGTCATCCGCGTTTCCTTTTCTTATTTCTTTTTTTCTTTTCTTTTTTTATTCATATATCATCGATCAAAGATTTATCATTATTATTGATGAAACGGTAAACTATAGTAACTTAGGAACTCATTGCTAAAATGAGTCATCGATGATGGTGTTTCGAGTTGTATAGTTTAGTTCGACACGCTTGAACGACTTCGAAGAAGATTCAAGAATCTTTTAGATCGATCTAATTGTAAGTCAATTTAATATAATATTGAAAGGCAACGAACGTGAAACGTTATTGCAAGAAGTTAAGAGAAATGATAATTTAAATTTATCAAAAAAAAAAAAGAAAACAAACAAAAGGAAAAAATTGATATTTATACCGGTATTATCCTTTTTTTTTTTTATTATTATTATTGACTCTTGTCTATTGTGGTGTAAAGAAACTTGACGAGGAAGAAAAGTCAAGTTAATCTGATTCTCGAATATGATAAACGATCTTTTATTCCGATGACAAGGCTTAAATGTTTGCCGTTGCGTCAGTCGGTCGCTTTTATCTAACAATAAGTAAGGTCTTTTTTTAATATATATATAAGTAATCAGAGAAATCTTCACTCACGTTCATCATGAGAGCTGTTAGGCTCTGCCAACTTTTGTTTAAAGATTGTCTTTGTCGTTTATAACCTCCTATATCGCGTTTCTTATCTGTCGCGTAAATTCAAATAAAAATATAAGGAAAAATAAATAAAAGGTAGGGGAAAATTACTGAACTTTATTCGATTTCGAGTATGATCTTCAAAAATAAATAAAGATTTTCGCGTTAATTACGACAAATCGTTATTATATTTTTGGTTGATTTATTTCAAAATAAAAAAAAAAGAAAATAAAAAAAAACTCAAGGGAATAGGTTCGTCGCGAATATCTTTTAATAATAATAATAATTACAAGAAAAGAAAAAAAAATATATATATATGTATATCAGGATGGATCTAAACTACGAGTTAGTCGAACGTAGGTAGAGACAACGAAAGGAGGTCGTCAACTAGAGTCGTTGTTAAGGATGGTTTACTACTTTAGGTATATTCACCCGGAAGTGTACGTATATCTATGAAGGATATATTTTTATCTTTCTTACGGTTGATACACCTGTCTACCTTTTTTTATTTTTTTTTTATTCTATACGGAATAAAACCAGTATAATATAAATACATTTTTCGGTTTGAACGTTTTTCTTTCTTTCTTTTTTGAAAGGGGATTTTTTTTCTTTTTTCTTTTTATAAATTCTAACGATTCCTATTCGTTACGATGAGCTTTTGAAATATTTGAACTTGACGTTTTGGAAGGGGTAAAATAAAAGAAATATACAAAAATGAATAGCCGCGGTTGACGCATCGCAAAAGATTTCAGTCGTTCACCCTGTATTTCCACTTAAAAGCGATTATGCAATTTTCTCCGAAGCTTTCTTTATAGCCGCAAATAACCGGTCTATTCTAGTCGTTTGAGTCTCATGCGTCACCCTATACATATCTTGCCCGCCCTTTCGCGGCTTACATTCAGGCGGCTATAAAGTTTATAAAGAGTATCTAACTCAGGTACGTAGATAGATATCTATAGACGACCTACGACAAATATAAAACGGTTAACATTTCCGGGTTAATATCCTTACTTACGTTATATTGAGTAACAAAAAATATAGTCAAGTATACAAGTTGGCAATTATTTTTCTATTTAACCAACTTCATGTTAATTGTTTTCAAATTTTATTTCCCGATCGAATTCGTCAATCTTTCCTTTTTTTTCTTTCTGCGATCTCGAAAAATTAAATCACCCTATTGCGCGAGAAAAATAATAAAAGTAGTCAATTAAATTTGTTGTTTATATGATTACCATTATTACCGTAACTAGTGAATTTGTTCTTTTCCTATATATACATTGATATAATAATGGGTTGTAATTGACGATAGAATTTATTCGATTTTACAGATTGACGATCCGATTCACGTGATCTCTATCGAGGAACCGTCGAGTGGTGCAAGACAAAAGCCACCGGATTATGAGGCTGTAACTGATGCGCCACCTAGTTATGATGATGCTATCAAACTGAATCCTGGTCATTTGATCAGGCTAAGTACGAGTAGTACGGCATCCTTACCCACAGAACATACGATACCGGGAACCGTTGAATTGGTTCCCGGTGAAACAATGCGAACACCGCCACCACCATATGCGAGGTAAATAATTAATTAAATGATATACATTTTAAATTGAAATTATAAGATTCACTTGTCAAAGGTGGTATTGTTAACTTGACAATATAAAATACATTTAAAGTTATTGATCTCTCGCGTTGATTAATTCGTTCATTTTAAACGTGACTTGTATCATCAATGTATCGTTTATTATTTTCAGGTGAAAGATTTGATGAAATTTATGGTGGTTACGGAAAAAAAATGCGAGAGGGTTGCTGCGCGACGGCTGCAGCTTAGAAAGAGAGACGACCGAGGAAGTTCAACGAACGAGTCTTTTGAAAGTCTTCATGATATGAATGATTAAGACACATATTTTATCTGTGTTTTTTATTGTCAATTTTGGCGCAAATTGTCGCAAATGATAATTTTTCTAAGAAAATAATTGCGATCTAGCGTGAAAATGGACTAAAAAATAAGTGTGATTATCCAAAGAAGAGATAAAACGTATGTTCCTTTCTCCGAAAAGAAAAAAATAAAATAAAACGGATGTCGTCCATTGTAAAGATTATCATCTTTACGGACTGATAATGTACAAATGTTGTAATACGAACTGTTTTTGATGGGTTGTTGTTGCGTCGGCAACGCTAACAACACATTTCTATCGATTCCGTCACGAGAACGTGATGGTAGAAAAATTTTTTTAATCTTTTTTATTAGTTTTCGTTTTCTTTTTTTTTTGTTTCAAACTATAATTGTAAGATTTAAATAAATTACGAGAAGAATACACATCCGCGGAGAAGTTAATAATTATTTGTACGCAATACAACTGCCAATTTGTGATAGCTATTGTATTTTGCCCGAATACCTATGAGCGATTCTATAAAAAAAAAAAAAATTTATAATGCTGTACTTTTGTATTTTAAATAACGTCGTTGTATTTCGTTAAGGATTATCATAAATGGTGTGCAATGTATTAATTACATCGCGAGAAATGAAACGTCGTCATATAGTCGTCTCTCTTACTTTAAAAGTCATGTATGTGTGTGAGACCAATAATTGTAAATTATTTAATTTCGTTCAAAGAATCCGTGTTGCTTTGTTCGTGAACGAACGAAGAAAAAATATCGTGGATTATAATTAAGTTCATATTTTCTTTTTTTTTTTTCTGATAAGAAAAAGGAATAATAGACTGCAGTGCGAATAATTTTTATACTTTTTGATGATACTTATAGAGAAATCACGTTAATAATGCTCTCAATTGTTATGTACCATCAAATATTGTATATTTATTAATGGTAGCGAATCCTTGCGTTTGGAAAAAACGATTCATAAATCTAATATTAATGTTCCTACTTGTTTTGTTTTTTATGATGAAACGTTTTTTAAGATCTTTTTTTTTTTTTTCTTTTTTATACAATTTTCATCTCATTATTGAGAGCATAATAAGTAAAAATTATTCGTACGCTTATTATTTGTGAAAGCTATCAGATCATCGCATGCGTTGTTGAGTATCACTTTTCATCGGCTCTGCAAAATAAAATCTTTTTTATAACGGAAAAATATAAATAATAAAAGGAATAAACTTTTTTTATATATATCTATATGTATATATATATAAATATATATATATATGTATATATGGTTGTCGGTATTTCGATTACCCTTATTTGCATCGCATCCTGATTTATATTATATAAAATTGTAACTAGCGAGAAAATTTTGAGATAATTGAAAATATTTAAGAACAATCAATGTGTCATTCATTAAGCTTATAACAAATATATATTATATTGCTCGTTATCTTGAAAACAGAATCGTGAATGCATACGCAGATAATTTTCATCGATAAATACCCTTTATTCAATCGGAGTAACATTTATACTTACTTAAAGCATGTTATAGAACTAATATATCTGTGGAAATTCATCAACGGCAACAATAGTAATCGTAATAATGAATAGAACTTAATGAATAATAAATTATGATAATGAGATGATATTAATGGCAATGAGATAAAAGAGTTAATAATAATAATAATTATAGGTACAATCATAAAATTGTTATATTCTGATAACGCGAAGATAAGACGTCGTAACAGTAGGTAACAATTGTAAGAGGAATTTTTTTTTGTTCGAATGATTATTTGCTATTTACGCCTTTTCCATTCTTTTCTTACGGGTAAGCTTACAAAAAAAAAATGTAAAAAAAAAAAAAAAGAACAACAGTTCGACGATGATAACAAAATTCAAATATCAACGATATAAAACGCAAAAGGATTATTAACAAATTTTTACGTGTTAAAAACTAATATTCGCATATTAATATCTATTTTCACGGGGTTTTTTGTGTCCATATCATTCTCACGTTACATATTCTTTAGTTTAAATATATTCTCTTTTCCGATGTATATAGTAGATTAATTCGCATCTTCGGTATTTTTACCATGAATGAGAATAATTAATAATTTCCAAATAAAACTTTGAGACTTTTTTTTTTTTTTTATTATTATTATTATATTCGTAGGTGATTTGTCAAAGGAAGGATCAAAGTTATTTTTTTTGTTTGTTTGTTTGTTTGTCACCTACCGTCGCCGCTCTCGGTTAATGTTCAATATTTACAGATATATATCTTTCGCGTTTCTATCAATTAAAAAACAAATATGAATGTATCATAATATAATAATAACAAAGAAAAAATTTAAACAAATTAACATAAACGTTTAACAATCTGTGGTGCTAATATATAATAATAATAATAATAATAATAATAATAATAATAATAATAATAATAATAATGTATATCACCACGCGATGATGACGATGACGATGATGACGATGATGATGATGGTACACAGTTGATTCTTATGGAGAAAGAATTCGAATGCATCGATTCATCTCTTAAATTATTGCACGTATGAACGATCTTACTCTCGGATCATAATCACATTTTAAATCTAATACAATCGATTGCCGATGTAAAACGGCACTTTTTAGAACTTTTCTTGTGAAATTTTTTTTTTTTTCGAATCTGCCCGTACATTTTATAAATTCGATAATACACCGTGTTTAAGATTAACATCCGTCTAATCACATTAGAGTTCTACGTATGGACCGTAACAGATCTTGCATTTCTTTTTAAACTCGTCGTTGTTTCTACCTTTCTCATTTTAGTGATTCTTAAAGAACGTACTCAATTATAATAATCGTATTACTCTGTAGTTTATGTACACCATATGGACATGAATTTTCTCTCTTTCTTTCTCTCTTTCTTTCTCTCTCTCTTTCTCTCTCTCTTTCTCTCTCTCTCTCTCTCTCTCTCTCTCTGACACATTTCTTTTCTCGTAAAGTCGTTGACATAAATGTGTGTGTGTGTGTGTTTTTTTTCTTTTTCTTTTTTTGGTATATGCATAGCGATATACTATCAACAGTAGCAAGAGTAGTAGAGGCAATAATTACTATTGGAGTAGCACTAGAAATGTTTTTTTTTTATCTTTTTTTTTTGGGGATTGGTAATAACGATGACAATAATATTAATAATATTAATTAGCAATAATAAGTTAGAGTCACCAATAAGTAGTCATATTTATAATTAGTCTCTGACATATCTGAAGCAGCATTTTTAGCATCATGTTTTGATACACCTGGCTCCTGTGATAATTTTTAATGCTAATTAATAATTAGGTAATAACAGTTATACAATAGTAATATTAATGAGATCTGATATACATCTAAGCTAATCCCTTTTTTTTACATGCCTTAAAGAGATAACCACAACATATTGAATAATATATAAATGCTTTTCTTTTCACTTTTTTTTTTTGTTTCTTTTCCCTCCGTGTATTTACAAAGTGCTAATTAATATATTTATCGTCGATGATCTTACGAATTATACGCGACATTCATTTTCGTATGTACAAAAGATATTTCGCTGTATGCGAAATGAAATCATCGTTTAGTCTTTTTATAATCGACTCGTTCCGATATTACATTTCATTTTGGATACGATCGAGATGTTTCGTGAAATCATTTGATTTATTTATTTATTTATTTATGTTGTTCAATTATATTTTCTCGAATATAATAAGTATCCAACAAACATTTCGAACGAATTTCTTCTCCTTTAACCGAATAGAATCGTTACGCGTTAAGAGATAATATCCATTTTTGAATCGTTTAAATTAATTTAAGCAAAGTTTGCTTAGCGGCTGGTCGATAATGCAAAGTTCCTTTTTCACAATGGACACGAAAGTTTACCTTACCAGTAAGTAGGTAGGTAGGTAAAATTGAATCGGACATTATCGTTAATCACTTTATCAAAGACGTTCGAACGACACTGTACTCGATCGTTGAACTTTAGGGATGGTCTCAGATGGGTGTCGGCAGGACCGTGAAATCTTGTAGGGCGGTTTTCACCGTTTCGTAGATCGGTCGATTGGTTTCGTCGGCACAATAGCCGTCGGCGGTGCACAGAGTTTGCAGTTTTGTTAGATAACTATCAAAATTCTCATGGCCCATTTTCTCTTGCGGTCCACCTGGGGCGTTGGGTATTCGTACGTGTTCCAGCAACGTTATCATGTTATCACGTAACGACTGATAGTACTCGGTTAGATTATTGTTTCGCGTAGCTATCGTCGTTGTTTCCTACAAAAATAATAGAAGAAAAATAAGATGTCTGTATACCTGACTTTCGATAAATAAGATTTACAATTAAAATAAAAACATTGTTGTTAACGGAAGGTAATCTATAAAGATTATCGACCGAGCATACGAACCTTCTCGCCCTGCTTCAGTTGATTCTCCATGGCGGTGATGTCGGAACGCAGGCGCAGTACTTGCGATTCAACCCGAGCATTCTCCCTCTGGAGTTCTGTGATTTCAGCCTCCAGTGTATAGAGGTCTTCGCCCTGGGCACTCGTGGACCCACCACCGCTTGTATTACCCTGACCCGTGCCCACCGCACCTCCGTGAGCCGGACCACCGGCGTCCACCCCTAAAGTTAGCAAAGACACGGACCGGTTCATCAAACTATCCCTCGAAACTATCATCTTTTCTTTTACCCTTTCTACCAGTTTCTTTGCATCTACGATTATATTCGCAGATTAAAAGAATTTACCGAAATGCCATATTTATTTTTAATGTCATAGACTTAAGAATCTGACTATCGGAAATCGTAAAAAAAATATTTTGTCATTTTTTTCGATCATTGTCAATTCAAAGACTTTCTCTATGTGACTTTTTTTTTTCCATATATAGAAGCATTTCGGCGTTTTGCTAACAATCAGAGGAAAGTCAAATATCGAAATGCACTAAGGCTTTACAAACGTGGTATTGTAGCGAATATGTGGGGATTATGCTTGTGAGGACCAAATTTGGAGCCGTCATTTAAACGGCATGGTTTTAGGTGTTAATGCGTTTAGGTGCGCAGGTTTCTGTTACGTCGATTACTTTAAATTTTCAACGCGATAAACCTAAATTTACCGTTAAAAGAATCTTTGATCGTTCAAAGATACAGGTTTTATTATATACATCAAGTAACAGACGCACCAACCTGACTGAAGTGCTGCGGGAGTGAAAGAGTTAGGATAATGAGGTCAATTTCATAGGACAGCGTGAGGTGCCATCATACCAGATAGTAGAAGAAATAGGAGATACCGAGTGCTGGTTGTTTAAATTGATAATTTTCTTTTTTTTTTGTTTCATTACAATACAAATTCGTGTGACAAACTTGATTCTTTTTTTATTTTATTTTTAAATATCAAATTTTTTGGACACGCACATAGATACATATATATAATAATATATATATATATATATATCTATATATGTATACTCTACCATTGGTACCAACACTCGGACATCGTCTCGTAAAAGTAAAATTACTGGTGTGTGGATTTTGTATATAACACCGAAAACACATAGAAAACATGTGGCGAGTACGTCAGTTCCTTACCTTCAAAAGTAAACGTTCTCCTCAAAGCTCAATGACAGGAAAGGAGCTGATCGTGATCCCAGAATAAATCAGAATATATTATTTTTCATCATTAATGATATACCGCTTACTTTGTTCTTATATCTCTTTTTCTTGCATATAATATAGGAGAGGTAACATCGCGAAACTAATACCGACAAAAAATAGGTGAGGACAGATGAATATGAAGGTATTATGTAATGTTATTTTATTTCGGTTCAGGTGTCTTTTTTTTATCGGCTGAATTATTAGAAGTTGCTTCTTTCTAACGTCACTATATGTATATATACAAATTTTTTTAGTTACACCTGAATCATAGTGGCATGAGAAACGTAATGATGCAACATCTCTTACAGAAAAACAAAAAATTCAAATGAAAAGTGAGCAAAAATTATGTGAGGAGACAAAAATGATTAAAAAAAGGGGAAAAGGAAAGGGTTTACCATCGTTGGTATGACAGCACATCATTGCATGGATAATAGAGCGTGGCATAGTACAGGACTAAGTATAAGGGTCTGGTACGCACACATTTACAAATAAAAATTTGCAATATCGCATATTTCGATAATTCACTCATCCAGATACGATAATCATTTTTAATTTTACGATAATACAATATTAACTGATAGATGAGAGAGAGAGAGAGAGAGACACACACACAAACAAGGATTTATGATTGCAATTAAATAATTAAAAATATGATCATGTCTGGATGAGAATCATAATCGAAAGCATATGCAAAGTCATTTTGACATTGTCTAATGTCTCTTCTATGCTAATTATTCTTTTCCTAAAGTGTAATCCATGAAACGCAAATATCAATTTATAATGGTGATAACTGTGCGTGAGAGAAGTCTGATGAGTCCAAAAACTATCTTTCGTAAAAGCAACGATCGATTGATCGTAATAAAATATTTAACATGTCGGGACATTACATACACCGCCCACACGCAATATATCTTTTGTCGTCTATTTTTCTTGTTCTTTTTTTTTACTCTTCCATCAATAATTTGGCAGGAAGTAGTAGTTTAGTTACGCATGAAAAGACAGAAGCAACTGTCAGATCCTCACCGGGGATTCCTTTGCTGTACATGCTTGACATATCCTCGAACTTTGGTTTCTTGACAGCATGTCCGGCTATAGGACAACCCGATAGAGATCTATGCGTTGAGAATGAGCCATTTATATGACCGATACCATCGCAGCCTGGTGTAGGACAATTGACACCTTCAAATTTCATCGCTGTCGTCGCTGCGATTGCTGCTTTGTGTTGTTCAATTGTTCCACCAGACTCCAAGACTCGCGCTTTGTTCCTATTTGCGATCGGGCATCCGGATGCACTATAACGCGTCAAAGTTGTTAATGGTGTTAACATATATGTATATATATATATATTTAAAAATAATGTTCTTACTAAATGTTCTTATTAAATAGATATGAGAGTGATTCGTTTTCTATCCTTGCTTCTTGATTGTATTATATAACATCAAATGTCATAATCCTTCGATAGGGGATTATTCTCAATGTTTCGATATATAAAATGTCGTTAATTTAATTGATTGATATGAATTCATTTGAGGTGATTCATTTGCGGGACTAATGGGGGTTACTGTTCTTTGTTGCTTATCTTCGTTAACCTTACCTGCGATGCGACAAGAATTTGCCAGTAGCATGGCCAGATCCATCACAACCTGGGATGGGACATCTGTAGTTCAAAATGGTAAGACCACCATCACCAGTACCGCACAACATCCATCCACACAGAGTAAGCGTGAAACGAGCGGAAACCGCCAGTTATTAGTCAGCGTCTTCGCCTTTACTCGGATAGGGAGAGTTAGTACGTGGTTGGTACGGGGATGGGTTTCCCCTTTTGGTCTCGTAGCAGATCTTGGTACGTGCAATGCGGTCACGTAGATACCTGCTTTAGCTACGTGTAACGTGCGAACGCGACGAAAACGTAAATTGAGATTGCGATTACTACCGACCCAGCAAATTGCAGAACTTGGAGAGGATCAGAGTTTCACGAGACCGAACCTTTAAGATTTACCAGTGAATTCATTTGAAAATCTATATATATGTTTATGAGAGAATAAATTCCAATCTGTTACAAGCATCGAAATAATATCTACCACCGAACAAACAAAAGCCCGTAATTTACAATATATATATGTATATTTATAAAAAAATGTATTAAAATGAATGGAAACAAAAGCCGAGATAGTATTGTAGCCAAATAACGATTATTTAAGCAAACTGACCTTAATGGTTCAGAATCCTGTCCATCCCTGGGTTTGCTTTTCGGTTTATTAGCTCGCGGACAGCCGGACAAACTTCTGTGAGACGAATAATTTCCAGTGACGTGTCCTGATCCATCGCATCCTGGCGTTGGACATTTCAACTCTTGAGAGTGCGCTTGAATTTGTGAACGATCGGCTCGCGGACAACCAGAGAGGCTAAAAATTTCATAACATTCAAAGTCAAGTTAAAAAGATGTTCAACAATTACCATGACGACTAAGCGCTGCTTCTCTATAAAACGATGAAAAACGAATACACGTAATATAATAATAATATATAATATCTGTCACTGAAATGATATCGTAATTAATAAACGCGAAATAATAAATAATCGCAACGCTGTAATCTTCATGGTTTCAATCACGAACGTACACCTCAAGAACATCCAAGGTCTCCCGCAATACATCGCATGCAATTCACGCGACGTTGCCACGAGGTTTGCGAGAATACTTACATCGAATTTTCAATGCAGGATCCATCATTAGTTTTCTGTGTGATCTAATAGGATAGACCTCGATGAGTTCCAAGCGCTTCATTTTCTTGGATATATTCATTACCAAATGGAATTAATATTTAAATCGTATTTAATCGAAGGGAACGCTGAGAAAAAAATCACCTCACCGAGATCATCCATTTAGACTTCTTACTTACTACGGTAATGTAAATAGATAAATTTTCGCGCTAGAGTCAAACTTGGACGACTTGCCTTGCATCCGGTTGAAACGAAATTCATTTTTTTTGTTTTTTTTTTTTTGGGAATGATAATATATTGTGCTTATGATTTACATTTCCCGATTAATCGCATGCGTATATTCGTACAGGGATTATGCATTGTCCTCGAAAAAGCCTGATTTATTCTTTAATTGCACATTTGAAACGGGCAATCAACGAAGATCGATTTAAGTAGCATGCAAATGGCAACGCCGTGTTCCAATTGGATCACTCATGAGGTGTCGCTCGTAAGGTCGATCGCGTTTCAGGTTCATGTCAACACAAGGTCAGCCTTACTCTAAGAACACTGAAAGGGACAGCAGGGAGCACACTCACACCTGACCCCAGTGAAACTCGTCAATTGCCAATTATATTTAAGTTTTCAAGTTTCCATTAGAATTAGAATTGCACTGCCAAAAAAGTATTCTTCTTTTTTTCTTTTTTTTATATATATATAGTCAAGTCATATTCGATTATTATTATTATTTTTTTTATTTATTTTTTTATTTTTTTTTCCCCGGCACGGTTCTGCTCTGACATGGTCATTGACAACAGTTCGCTACGAAGCTGCCCACCTGAGCTTGGCGAAAGCTGATCAATATGGCGGATTTATGGTGATCCATAATACGAATCCGAAAGAAAAACTTAGGCTACTGCGCTGTAACAAGATTTACGCAGATAAAAGTCTCGTAAATGGATAAGTCTTTTCTTTCTCTTAAAATTACGAAAGCATCATTTTCATCATGATTTTGTCATCCCTTTTCGTAGGGGTCGGGTCGAAATGGGAGGAAATGAAAAAATTCATTCAACACGAAACTTATCTACACACTTTGATAATAATGCATCGTATTACAAAACCAATAGATATATAATATATTTACGCAAGTAAAATAGACATAAATGGAGTAAAAGAGAGTGGGTGACAGACAGAGTCATCTTATGAGAAAAAACATAAGGATATATATATATTTCATACTCATGTGTAAAAGCTAATTTTAATCAATTATATATCGAGTATACAAAATAGCTCAACTAGGAATGAGGATTTTCTAGAAGTATATATTCGATGACGCAAAAACACCTAAGAAGCCACTACGAATCACCGACACGCAATGGTGCAAAACCTCCATATAAAATATTTTATACATATACGTTGATGTATATGTGTGTATATATATAGGTATATGATGTTTATAAAAAAAAAAGTGGATCGTTAGTGTAGACGCTTTAATTTTATACATATGTATAAAGATGTATGAATTCGTTAGTCCAGGAATTTGTAATCCAAGATGAAAATGAAAATAAATGATTAAACCGGACGACAGTCATCTCATAGCGAGAACAATTCCTGTGTTTCTTGATTATTCTCATCTATTGGTCACATTAATCGATAACAGTTAATGAACTCTTACGAGAAAACTGTAACTGTTAGATTAGAGTAAAAAGGATTCTCAGTGACGTGTAAATATGTAGTATATTTGTATGTAGCGTGCGTTCGTGCGTGCTGCATCGTTGTTTTAACATACAACATAAATATATACCAGGTGCAGAGTTTATAGGAACGCCTAAATATCTTCGATATTTATGGTTTAATGGGAAAAATACTTGGAACAAAGTTATATTGATTCAAGGTGTATATATTTGACACACCGTTGATAGTACTTTTACCTAATGTTAATTTTTGGTATTTCGTTAATTATTTATTTTACTTTTGAACGAATTCATTCTTAGTTTCATTCCGAATAAGAAAGTATCGGACAATGTCGAAAAATTATTATCCTTCGAAGTATTTTGAAAAAATATCTGATGGTTCATGGTAATGAGTATAACAAGCAATATTATTTTTTTTCTTCTGGTTGAAACTAGGAAAATTATTATGAGGAAATAGATAAATGGTCTAAGGTGAGCTACATATTTACGATCATATTTTTCTTTCCCATGTGTGCACATGCACATGCATTATTGCACCAAATACTTTTTCAAATTACTTTATGAAATAATCATTTGTCGATATCGTGTACCTTAATATCATTTTTCTTTTTTTTCTTTATACAGAATAGCACGACAAAATATCAATTCGAGAGAACAAATTTGTCCGATTTAATTAAAAAAACAAAAAGAAAGAAAAAAATAAACACCAATATTCTGGACATCGAGTAAACAAATATATTATTCGATAAAAAATTATACTCAATAGTCAGATGCATTTCTTGTGAAATTATGCAACTTAGTTCGAAGTATCTTTTTTTTTCCATGAAACCATAAAAGTAACGAAGATATTAGTGTTTTTTTTTTAAATTAAAATGCTGTATCCGGTATATGTATGCATGTATGTATTTAATTGGAACTTCGAGGATGTCAATGTCAATGTCAATGTCAATGTCAATGTCATCAATGTCAATTGCTGCCTTGCCTTCTGTGGGTAGCGTAGTTCCCCGAGACATGACCCATGCCATCACAGGACGACGTGGGGCACTGTATCAGCTCCTTGCCGTCGCGACCACGAGGGGCGGGCCGAGGTGCAAAATTCAACGTGTGTCTCCTTATATTCATACTGCACGGAACAAGATGAACAATAAAACAACCTCAACGCGATTGCTCGTCTCATTAATGTGCCTGACTACCTGCCTGCCTGCCTGTCGTCATCCGAATTACGAAGAAGATCGCGTTGTTGACCAATAATCGTTCGCCTTAAACGCGCGCCCTTTGCTATAATTTTATTTTCAACACAATTTAAGCGTAAAAGAGAATAAAATCAAATCAAAATAAATAATACGTCGGACGGCGCAAGTTTTGGCTAAAAAATATTTTTCACTTGCGAGTGGGCGTAACATCGTTGTATCCTGTGCGAGCAAATCTCTAACCGAATACGCCGAGTGAAAGAAAAAGAGAGAGAGAGAGAGAGAGAGAGAGATTGAGTGAGAGGTAGAGAAGGAGGAGGGGTAGAGAGAAAAAGAGCAACGATGCAATACTGAGAAGTTTTATTGCGTTCTGCAACTTTTCTCGGAAAAGGGGGGGCTGCTGTTGGGCTGCTGCTGCTGCTGCTGCTGCTGCTGCTGTTGCTGCTGCTGCTGCTATTGCTGCTTCTACCGATGCTCCTCTTTGCATTCACGATCATAAGCAACGATATATGAAACACAGTCGAGAAAAATGTTCCCTTCCTTTTTTTGACGGAGAAAGAGAAGTATATGCGTAGAAGGAGTAGTAGTAGGAGGAGGAGGAGGAGGAGGAGGAGGAGTAAAGAGGGACGAAAGGAGAACACGTGGATCAGAATCGGTGAGAGCAGACGATTTCGTTCCTACTTCTCGTTCGTCTCGCTCTTGGTCTCGTAGATGGACGAACTCACCCCGTGGGCTATGAGATGCTCCGAAAACCTCGATGACCCTTGAGTGGCCACGATATTGCTGGGAAACCAAGCCAGCGGACGCGGACTTGAGTGCAATTCACTGGTTCGCCCTCGGGTTTGCCCTATCTGCTTGCTTGCTTGCTTGCTTGCCTGCCTGCCTGCCTGCCTGCCTGCCTGCCTGCCTGCTTTCCTGTTTTTTGGTCTTCGTCTCTAACCACTTTCCTCTGCCTTCGTCGTATATCTAACTATTACATAAACCCCCGTTCAATTTCTGACTCCAAGAAACCAATTTTTATGATAATCCTTTTCCGAGATTTAAAATCCAATATATATTTCCATTTGTCGATGAGTTCGAAACTGACGACAAATAAAAATCATTTCTTTTCATTTGAAAAAGTTAAATCATTTTTTATCTTTTTTGTTTCATTTATAAGCAAGAATTAATGTAAAAGATTATTAAAAATATAACCGTGATATATTTATTATATTATACATGTGTCGGGAATAAACGAATAAGCTGAATATTATGGCTTTAACGTCGATAACGTTAAATTTTGTTGAACAACGTGTAGGGAAGTAACGATTCCAGTTGTAGAGCTAAGGCAGTGTAGGTAAGTTCCGGGTTCTAACTCCGACGGGACAGCGCGGCTTTAGCCCTATAATCCAGTGCGGTAGCAACTGATTATACCCCACCTTCCCTTTCAACCTTATCCACCCTCGGCAGCTCACCACCTCCTCCATCCATACTTTGGCTTGTCCTCTCTCTCTCTCTCTCTACTATGCTTCTCTTCTCTTCTCTTCTCTTCCTTCTGTCTCCACTTCCTTCTTTCTCTCTCACTCTCTCCTCTCTCTCTTTCTATCTCTCTTTATCTCTCTCTCTCTCTCTCTCTCTACCTCTTACATGCCTCGAACCGCGCCTTCTACGCCATACCGTCGAGCTTTACGTCAATTAGAATAAGGTTGGCACTTTCGGTACGAAGAGTAATTACTTTAATTAACAAAATGGAGGTAGGTATGCGTAGCCTCTCCCCTTTTGCACAGTCCGTCGATGTTAGCCGTCGCCTTTCCGCCTTTTCGAGCTTCGGGCGCGAATATATCGCGAGAGAGATTTGCGCGACCCTTTCCGCAAGGCAAGTACCAAATATACAGACCTTATCGTGCGAAATTGTCGCATGGGTATTGCTTTTCTATTTATCTTACAAAAGATATTTTATCCTATACTTGTCACGTATCTATTATTATTATTATTATTATTGAATTTATATTTGATTCGGAATATAAAACTTATAATTCATCATCATGAATGATAAAACAGATTCTTATGACTATCGGAAAAAAGGACCGTACGATTCCTTTTTAAATCGTAAACTTTATAGAATTGTTGATACATTAGATCGTATAGTTAATTTCTTACCTGTCATCTTTACCAGATGGTTTATCGAGAGGTCCGACAGTATGCTGTGGCGGCGGCATACTGTAACACGGTGCTGGGGTATAACCTGCTGGAATTTGGTATCCAGAAGTAACTGGACCTGCAGGATAGGTTCCACCACAATTATAACTTGCGGTGGGGTAGGGAGTATAAGTGTTTCCAGGATACTCTGGTTGTACACCAGCCATACCGTAACCTGGATGCGGGCTCATAGGTCCATATCCTATGAACAAAATATCATACAAAATTACGATTAATACACAATGTCTGTTCAAATATCCTATGTATTCTGCTTTATGAGAAAATAAGAAACAAAAAATAGAATAAAGTAGACAAGACTTTATTCAAATTGCTTTTAAATACACGGTCTGTTCTTTTACTTTTCATTTCTCTTAGTATACGTATCTTACAATTAATCTTAAAGAATCGAAGAAAGATATGAAAAAGAAAAGAAAAACCGTGCTCGCGAAAGAACAAAGGTGTGGCCACGCGTTACTTGATTAACCGTTGTAAAATTTACGCGTTTATTTACTGGCAAGAATTCATTTCATTGTGAGAGTAAAAAACGCGAAGTGCAAATAGCCGACGGATGGGTAGGACGATGGCGGTGGTGGTGGTTGCGCGACGTTGCAGGAACACGTTGATGGCGAACGAACATGCCAGTGTGCGCTCGAATGTTTCAATTTCAATAACTACTCCCCAGCGTCGGAGTCCGGACAATATTGGCCGCACCGGACTTTTGCCAGCTACGTGTACGCGAAATATTGATAATTAACAATGGCCGTGTACCGTCACAGTGGGTGGTCCGGTATGGAAGGGTGTACTGTGAATGTCCAGAATGAAAGAGAGTGAGCGAGTATCTATGTACGAACGTGTATGAAAGAGAGAGAGAAAAAGAGAGAGAGAAAAAGAGAGAAAAAGAGAAAGAAAGATACAAAGAAAGAACGTGAGAGAAAATGGGAGAATGAGATGGGGGAATATGAGAGATAAAGAGTAAAAGAGACAGAGGGGACGCCGCGTAGGTGGTTTGGAATGCCAAGGCACAGAGAGACCGAGGAAAATGAGAGTTGGGGGGGCATAGGTGCCTATTATGGCAGTCGTGTACTGTTCTGGCGAATTTTTATTCGACGGTTGTAACCACGTATCTCTCTCTCTCTCTCTCTCTCTCTCTCTCTCTCTCACCCTCCTATACGTTCTTCATGCCTCTCGAAACCCCGAGGGCGTCGCACTCTTTGTTCTCTTCCGCGCGTTTCACCAGCGAACTTCCTCTTTGCCACCCTCTTCCTACTCTATCGGTAGATATAACCGCACTACATCGACGTAACGACAAGCTAACGTGAAACGTTATGGGTACCTTGTTATAACCGACTATCTTTCATCACTGTGAACCTTTTTCTTTTCAACATACGAAAGTGGTAACGGTGTCTCCTTTCTTAAAACATCACTTTGGAGAAGAAGAATGTTCGGGTAGGAAGTAACCAGTTAAGATGGTTATCATTTATTTTCGAGTGTACGAACAATGGTTGAGATAATGTTGCAATAAATGGCAATAACTCACCAGTAGGATCTCGGTAAGCGTCCATGTAGTGGGAACCACCGCTGTCAGGGGTACTTTCACGACTATATGCAGCTACGTGCACACCGGGTGGCGGGAATCCTGGGACAGGCCTGATTCCTGGACCCCCGCTGAAATTGACTGGCTCGTTTGCCGTGGAGAAGTCCACGGGCTCGGTCTGTTCTTCGATTGGTCGTGGTGCCGGAAAGCCTGGACCTACGGGAACCGCCACGGCTTCTCCATGACCCGTGGAATATTGAGGACTTGGTGCACCACTGAGTACATGAAATATATCCAATGTTTTACAAATTTGTTCTATTTGTTCAAATTAAATAAATATTCAATTTGATTAAATAATTACCTGTGTAGTCTATTCACGCTAAGGTCCAATGTTTGACCCTGAGGACTAGGGACTTGAGGACTTGCAGTCAAGTGAGGACTTGCAGCAGCTTGTGGACTACCTCCGACAGTTTGACCTCCTCCATATTGCGGACTGAGACTGCTTGAACCGTAAGGAGGAGCCTAAAAATGATTTTAACGATTCATATGAAATTTCTTCCATACTTAAAATATTGATATTTGAATAGTCCTAAATTCACGCCAACCTGTGGACTGGTCGAAGTAACGCTCGACGTGGATAGATCCATTACCGAACCCCCTGGAGAGGTTGGCGGACCACCAGGTTTTTGCATTTGTTGAACTTGTGCTACTGTCACGCATTTCACTATAAAACGTATTCAAATAATTACGGTCATTGTAAATAATTCGTCACAATGTTAGAAGAAAAAATTGTAACTATATTATATATAATTTTATAAATAGAATATACTTACCATCTTCCGTTTTCATCATGCTCGCTGCCGTGGCTGCAGCCATAACCATTTGATGTTGTTGCGCGGCTGCTGCAGCTTCCTGATGATAAACGCGTTCCTGTTCCTCGGGCGTCATGCCGGTCTGTCCCAAATAATACATATTTGATCTTGAATGTAGCTGCTGTTGTTGTTGCTGTTGTTGTTGCTGCTGTTGCTGCTGTTGTTGTTGCTGCTGCTGCTGTTGTTGAGGTTGGATCGGGGCACAAGTTTGCGCATCGTATCTTTCGTACGCTGACGTGGTACCTGGATCGTATGGTCGATGATTAGCAGCATTGGCTATTGGATTTTCGTAACCCCTAGCAGCGGCGATCTCATTCGAATAAGTAACCACGGGTCTTGCAATATTAGTTGTTCCTGGATGCATATAAGCTCTCGCATGTTCGGCAGATCTGTGATGATAAAGTTCTTCGCTGGTAGTAGCAGCTGCCGCAGCAGCTGCTGCGGCAGCCATCATTGTCGTAGACTCGTAAGGTGATCTTTGAGACATTTGATGACTCATCCTCGTGTCTTCGACCATTGGCATGGGATAAGCAACGGTCGGTTGCATTGGCAAAACGTGATGCGTTGGATGTTGATTGGAATGATGTATGCTTCCACCTATGGTACCCCTCGAACCCATTGCATCCATCGACGACAACGATGAGGAATTTGAATCCTGATTCATGTAAGAGTCGTATGTAGGCCGAACTGTCGGTGGTGGGGGCGGTGGCGGTGAATTGACACGGCACGATACGCTATCTTCCGTTTTAGGTACCAACAGGTCCGATGTATTTTGGCCTCTACTTGGTAAAGGATTGCAGCAACTACCACTAGCAGTCATGTTCTCGGTCTTAGGGACTACCTTGCTTGAACGAGATGGTGGACTTTCCTCCGACGTTTTCGGAGGCTTCACATTTATCCCTGTGCTTTTCGTAGAGGCATAATAGTCATAAGTCAAGGAACTTATCACTGGCTTTGTGTCCTGACTACCGGACGAATACTGCGAATAGGATTTGCTGTCCATTGATGGTGGAAGTAGATTTGTGCTGATATATTCTGGTGGTATTCCTGACACTATTGTAAAAAAGATTAATCATTTGAGATATAATGTATATTAATTATAAATTTTATATATAAAGTAATATTAGAATGAAATTAAGATCGAAATAAATAATTTAATAATTAGATTCGAATATATAGGTTTCTATTTCTTTAGCTGAATATTAAGTTAATTGTTAATAAATATAATATAATAGAACTTCGATATCGGAATATTTATTTTATTTAAATTGTAAATTATTGAAAATCTAGTATCATATTGGAATAAGTTGAAACAATATATGAAATTATGAAGAAATTAAGAATTGAAAAAGAATAAATTTGTTGAATTATGTTAACGTTATATCTCTTATACCAATCAATGATTTAGGAAGTAATCTAATTTTTCAAATAAATGTATAGACAAAATTTACAATAAAAATGAATGCTATCCTTTCGCCGCGATACAAGTGGAAAAATAACAAGATCGTATATAAATATTAAACTTAAAAGACTACAAGGTTGAAAATGTTAAAAATGCAACACCGAAAAGTGCGTGGAGGAAGCTTTTGATGTATGAAAATGAAGAGCGTGCGTAAGAGTCAGAAATAATAATAAACGACGTAGATGAAAACGCTTGCAGTTCTATTAAACGGAATACCAGGATGAAAAGAATGTGACAAAGCTGTTTGGAATTTGACGAAAAAAAAAAAAAAAGAAAATATGAAAATAAAAACGTTAATAACTGCAGATTAATACGGTGCCGATGAAATTCTTTAAAATCTTAAAAAATCAAATTCTGTATTTACAAAGTAAACGAAAAAACGAACAATCACCGATGGAATTCAATTCCAAATAATTAATAAATGTATTATACAAAATTATCTATTTGTTTTTTTATCATTTGATTGTAAAAACGTAAAAAAGAAGAAGAAAAGAAAAAAAGAAATTGATTACGTTGAGAAATTATTTTGATGAAAAAAAATTGGACGACCAATGTCCTATACTCTGAAGAACCTATACACGTTCACTATGTTTCTACACCCTTCTAACGTTTAATCCTTGTCTTTCTCACACAGTAGGACTCGATGTAGTGGCAGGATTTTCTTGTCCAACGAATGGGGCCTAGAGCGAGATGGGGGTTCTTGCGATGGTTTTTTTCTTTTTTTTACCTTACCTTGTGCCCTGTGTCGTGCTTCGCGTGCGGCCTGCTTATTTGCCGCAGCTATTGGACACCCGGAGAGGCTTCTATGCGTGTTCCTATTAGAGCTGACATGACCACGACCGTTGCAGCCAGGCGTTGGGCATTTCAAAATAGTCTCATGCATCGCCAGAACTAGAGAGAACCCAGAGACACGTGGCGTCGATCAGACACACGCTCACACAACGTAAGGAGGAATATATTTTATATTTTATATATATATATATATTATAAATATTTGTATGCGTTGAGTATAATTATCACGATTGAGTAGAGTACTCCTATTATTTTGTTCTAAGGAGTATACAAGGATTATTATAAAAGGGGAAGGATTATTATTATTAAATTACTATTGTGGATATCAAATAATTAGGGTTTCGAGATCGATACATTTTTAATAAAATAAAACAACAGAAAACACGTATATAAAAAGAAAGAAAAAAAAAAAAAAAGATAATGTGTAGCATAAGAGATCAGAGAGGAATACAGGAATAATGAATAATAAGTAATATTACACAACATTATCAATAACGATAAATCATTATGTGTAGTGACAATCAAATATACCAAGCGGGTAGAGAGAAACGCAAGAGATAACGATATAATTAATAGAGAGATAAATTATATAATGCGATTTTCAAGTATTTCGTGTACTGTACGTATGTTCTTTTTTTTTTATTGACACTATTAGCAACTTATGGTGTTCAATTTTGATGTAATACTGTTTGACAATGTGTATCTGTGTTCGAATGTAATATAAAATGATCGTTAAAATATAGCGAAGGTTTAATTAGGATTAATAATTGACGCGTTTAATATTTGATCTATTGAAAAATTCAACGAGTATTGTTTCGTACGATAGAAATATAGTTTAAATGTTATTATTCGTGATTTGTAACTATAATAATAATAATAATAATAATAATAATAATAATTAAAATATGGCATTTTTATGGCATATTCTGTTAACGATCTGTTCTAAATGGGTGTTATAAAAGGCTGACGAAGGAAAAATCACAAGGTAATTATACTCAATCGCATAATCCTCCGTACGATAGTTAGACAGACGCACACGTTAATGCCAAAGGGAGGGGGTCCTTCGCACTTCTCGTGTCTCGAGTTCTCCACAGGTTCATAGGTACGTCCAAGAAAACCAAGTTCGAGTGTGGTGATAAAACTCTCTACTATATAATAATAATAATAATAATAAACTACTAAATAACACAAAAAAACACGAGATAATAAAATGAAAAATTGAAAACGGAACGCAATAAATAAAGCTCTCTACCCCGCAAACAAAAAAAGCACAGAGAAAGAATATAATATAACAAAGACAGAGAGACAGACAAACAAACACACATAATGGAACGTCAGGCTCGTTTCTTTTTCGTGTTGGTACCTATATTTATCGTTTTACGATCCTCATATGTAGATATTAATGTACCTCGCGACTATTTTAGATAAAACGAAATCCATTGAAATTGTTTTTCCCATCGAACTGATTTTAATATAGGTACTAGCTAATAATATTGCACCCTAACTTCTTCGTTGTTTAGAAAAGGCGCTTTCGAAAAAAGAAGATGCACTACTTACAAAGGAATCATTGCAATGAAATTTTACTCACTTTCGGGCGTTAGTTTATCCTTTCGTGGACAACCAGAAAGACTGTGAACAAATAAACATTACACGTTAAAATTTCATTATTGGTTAATATTATTCGTTCTTGAATTATAATTGATCGGCAAAATTCCCATTCTATTCGCTATTGAAATTTGATTATAGAGAAACGCGTATTTGTCCTTATCAAACGGGGTAGAGGGTAAAACGCGGATTAATTACCGATAATTGCTTACCTGCGGTGATGGGAATAGAGTCCGGTCACGTGACCCTGCCCCGTGCAACCTGGGGTTGGACACTTGTTGCCTTCTGTAACAAATCAAAGCGAAGTACGTGAATTTATGTTTGCTCGATCAATTCACTTTATATATATATATACTATATATATAAATAACAATTTTCTTTTTCCAATATTATAAATTGTTAAATATTGAAAGAGTAAGATTTTATATCAATAATAGTTGATTATTACGTGTAATTAAGATTCGTTCATAGATCATTGTTCTCGCTTGAATAAATCAAAGGATTGTATTTTTGAACACGTTAACGCGAATAAAATATTATTTATAATATTGTAAATTCATGATTGTATTTAGTTAATACGAAATATTAGAGTTTGGATATGATTTAATAATTACGCTTTGATAAAGTTTACTACTGGCAGCAATCTATTACGTGAAACTCAATTTCTCTCGTGGTTCCTGTTAAATACTACCACACAACAGTCGATATTTTAAGAGGTTACTTTAATACATGCTTTATTTCGATGGCAAGATTGATTAACCAGGAAAATCATACGAAGAATTTACTATTACGAGTAAGCCAACAATTATATTATATTTTGCAAAATGTATTATTTAATATTAATTTTAATAGAATAAATATATATATATATTTTGTTTTACACATGTAAAATGCACGCACGATATGTTGGTAGTATTCGGCAGTGTATTACACTTGTATAATATTGTCGTTGAATGCAAATGAACTATTAAATGGATGACAACCGAACATGTCCAACATCACGTCGTTGTTTCAGTTAGTACGTGGGGTGCATATTCAATATATGTGTCGTTTGTCGATATATTCTAAGGTTTTAATCGTTTTTCAATGAACAATTTTACGAAAAAGTTTCCAGTGGATTATAAACATATATGTATAATTAATCTGGAAATATTATAGTATTTTCGTATTTGTGAATAATTTCTGTCTAACATATTTAAATCTCGAGATTAGTGTTAATATAATGAGAGAATAATACGCACATCGGTATTAATAATTATGTATCACTCGTTTACTTGTTTTTTTTTTTACTTAATTCCATTTCTCAATCGCAAACTTTTCAAATATTTTTCGAAATTTTCTCTCCTACCCCATCCTGATACTTCGTGAAATTACGACCGAAAAAAGTAAGCCTAAACAACCGACATCAGGATCTGTCGTGCATTAAATACACCTTAATGACACAGTATAAATCATGTACGATCGTGTTCGTGCTCTCAGAGTGACCTCGCGTGACCAGACAATTACAGGTTGCCAATAAGTGCGGATAGTCGAGAAGTATCAATCTATTGGGATGAGACTAGAGGTTTCTATTTCCTATCTTTGAACCTTAAGTCGATAAAATAGTCAAAATCTATGTTATAAATATTATATAGTTAAGTTATAAATATTAAGGCATCACACATACATACATACACACACGCATACATGCAAAAAAATAAATTCAAGTATAAATAATAATAAAGAATTATTACTTAGGTTATATCATTGCATTGATTACTATCGTAAATTTATATATTTATATTGATAAAGTAATCAAACGAATTTATAAGACAAATTCAACACCTACACACAGTATATACATATATATATATTTATATATATATATATATTTTTTTCTACATAGGTAGTAAGTTTGTCACGTGTATCACAAGGGTCGAAGACGGATTCCGAGAGAACCTTAAGGATGAATCCAGGTTTAGGTTGGGGCGTCGAAGCTTTCCCCCTTGGAGTAAGCGCACTTTTATAAACTTTGTCGTGTACTAATCCCCCTCTGACTCTGATCCCTCTAGCCAACTACGGGCGATCCTGAATCGGCTGCCATGACGGCAGAAAACTTCATCAGCCCGTCATTTCGCGTTCTAGAGAGTGAGATAGAACGTAACCCTGCTTAGATGTGTGTCCGTGTTCTCCTTAAGGCGACTTCACTCGGACCACTTCGTAAATTGGATTACGATACGTGACGTCATTAGCGGCATACTTTATTTGCAGAGTTCCAAGCCTTATGTCGAAATTAACGATAAGGAGAGCACTACCCTACCCCCTCTACACCCCGCCCCCCGTATCTGTGATAAACGTGATTGGTATTTTTTCAACAAAATATTCTTACCACTAAGATTTATCAAAGTTTTATTTGCAATTGGATTTACAAAAAAAAAAAAAAGAAGTAACAAACAATGATCAATATGATTTCTACGTTCTCTCGTCGATTGTAAATTGTTTTAATTATAATCAAAATTACGTGCGTATAAAAAGCGTATTAAGAAAATAATTAGATATTTTTATTTAAAGCGAATCAGGGAGCTTCCGGGTTGATCTCGTGCCTTTTTAATTAGGATCGTTCTCGAAAAAAAAAAAAGAAAAAGAAGAAAAAAGGGTGACGAGATAAGTGAGGGCACGCGGTTAGCCGCTGGTAGGATTAATAAATTAGCCGTAAGGTTTTAAAACCCGAATTGTCGTCGTCGTCGTCGTCGTCGTCGGTGGCTAAGCTTCGGGAAGAGAGAAAAAAAAACGAAGGGGAAGGATAATGGTTCCGGTCAACAAAATGAATAGCGGCACGCGCTGTTCTTTACGGATGTCTGAATAGACTTGTAACGAGCCGGTCGTACCACGATTCTTCCTCTTTCTGGTCCCTCCTCTGGTATCGTCTCTCTCTCTATTTTTTTCCCTTTTTTTTTTCTACGGGAATCCTAAGTCAGGGTAGGTAGAAGGATAGAAGAGGAAACGAGTGGAATCAAGGGGTGAGAATGAGGATGAGCGGTAGTAGTAACCGAGGGTGAGGCTGAGACCGGAGTGTGTAATTGTGTTATTTTGTAGCCATTTCACGTGAGGGTCACCGCGGGAGAGCCAAAGGTGTACATAAACACCAGGATTGTTTTATTCACTCGACTTGTGTTGCGAAACTCGACGCGTACCGGTTTGTACTTTTTCACTATTTCTATCATCCTATTTCTTTCGTTCTAGGGAGGGGGTTTTGTTTCTTTTTTTTTGTTTTTCTATTTATTTTTTGTTTGTTTCCTTTATCCTCCTTCTACTATTTTACTTGAATACAACAGTTTCGTGCTGTTATATTTCATAAAGCACGCGTAAGTTTAACTAAGAGTACAAACGAACAATGCTTTCTTTAATGAGTTCATTCATTGAGGAAGGGAAAAAAGAAAAAAAGAAGAATGAAGAAACAGAGAAAAGAAATGAGATCAAGAGATGAGTATTTACACTCGGCGACGTTTACTCTTAAAGGGATAGGGAGGGGGCTCACTCTCTCTCTTACGCGAGAAAGGGAATAAACGCCCTTTTTATGCGTACGGTCGCAAAGGCAGCGTAAAATTGAGTTACAGGGCAGTTTATTTTTTTATTAGCCAGACCGAGTTTGCCACGGTGGTCTCAATGCGAAAAAAAGGGTGGTCCTTTGCGGCCGACGGATTTCCCGATAGTGGTTTTATGGCGTGTCAACACGCATTTACGCGCGTGCGTGTAGACCCGTAAAAGTGACGAAAAAAGGTAGAACGCGATAGGGCTATTGAATCAATGATCGGTATATTCGATCGTTGCGATTGCGAACAGGTTGTTACGAAGAATTATACGAATTCTAATGGATTTCGATGATTACAGATTTTTCGTTAGAATCTGTAAAAATTAGTGGTAGTTAATTTAAAAAAGAAATATATATTACGATATAAATATTTACACACCATTTCGTATTGATCTCATATTTAATTTTTTTTTAATCATGATTCTGGGATAGAAAATGATTGAATTTTTGCAAATGTTTAATTTTCACAATTTCGGTTGGAGAAAATGTTAAGGGGATAATAACAGACGACAGCAGGGCGCAGCGTGGTAATAAGGTGGCTTGGAACGGCTGCGATGCTAGTCACGTTTCCAGCCGCTGACAGCTGCGGCTTATACGTATGACGTGGTATCAACCCCAAATTTCCCCCGACTAGACACACCGTGTCAGGGCTGCCCTAAGACCCTGGAATGCACTCGAGTCTCTACCTGTCACGTTCCACCATGCTTCTTGTCACCTATACGATCAATTTTATCTCTTTCTTTACGTCTTTCTTCACTTATTCTCATTTCTTCTTTATTACCGATTAGTACTCGACAAGTATTTACATGATTTGTTATACAATTAATATGAATTTTAAATATAAATTAGGATATCCGAGTTTTGTAAAATAGTTCTTTTCTTTATATTTTTAAAGGTCATTTCATATTATTTCGTTCTGTATTATATTATTATAGTAATAGATATTCGTTTCTTTGATACTACAATAGTGATCTTTGATACTCATTAACTACTCGATAATTAGGACAGAAGTTGGTCAAAGCAATCAATCAATGTAGTTCAACATCTTCGTTGCAGAATATCGATAAGCTCAAGGAAAGGACACATAGAATATCTTCAACCGGAGAGACCTTGATTTCACGATTTGAGTCATCACCCCTCGCTTCGTAATTATTGATTTTCCGAGCTGCCCTAACTCCCCTAACTTCATAGAGAGAAAAGAGGGAGGGGGTGTAGAACTGAGAGACAGAGTGAGAAAGAGTAACGAAGTAACGGAATAAGCTGAAGAGTCCGAAATGCCGTTTGTCCCTTTCTTGTAATGTACAACGTACGAGTGGGAGCACTTTACTATGTTATCTTAGTCAATACTTTAACTTTCTTTTCTTTTTTCCTTTTTCTTGTTTATAATTAAATACGATGGATAGTTTCAAGATTAATAAAAAAAAAAAAAAACAAGACACGTGTTACCGATTGGCATTGTGTTATTTTGATAAGACATTTAATAGAACTAGGAAGACGTTAATTTCTTAACTAATTCTCATTTCTCACCTCTACTGAGACTGGACGGAGACATGGACATTCCTGGTCTGTTGGCGTCGAACGTGTTAGGTCTTTCTGGCATTTTTATCATATTTTCCTGTTGTCCCGTTCCACTTGCAGATGAACCATCAACGGTATTTGTGGAACTGGATGTAGTACTGGTAGACACAGTGGTGATCGAAATGTTGGTTACGTTGTTACTGTTCGAATTTCTATTAGTTCCACTATTGTTATTATTATTATTATTCACATTGTTGTTACTCGTATTCTTGTTGGCAATGTTACGATTACAATTCGTTCCATTGTTGTTATTATTATTATTACTATTGTTGTTCGTATTGTTGCTTCCAGTGTTACAATTGCTAACTGCAGCAACACTGACTACTCCTTCTCTGGTAATATCTTGAATAGCACTGGCAGCTCTAGAACCTACTCCCGCGGGTTGAAGGATCGTATACTGTTTTGAGGAGTCTGGACTTGTCACTGAGGGAAGTCCTGTTGGACTTTTACTGCTCGATACCGTGTTAGATGAAGGATCGTGTACCGACACGTGATGCGATTCTTCCTTAGATGATTTCAATTGCAACAATGAAACGGTCGGTGAATGTTTGTCCTCTGACGTCGGTGACAAACCAGGAACAGGCTGTGGGGTTGGCATCGTTGGCCCAAGACCTGGTGCTGGATAACCAACGAAGGTTGCCGAAGCTGGATATGGACCAATAGGTGGTATGGGGGTCGCACCAACTGGTACCGTTGTTGTACTGCGACAAATGTTTTTCGAATGATCACTGGTAGGAGGCCTGAACGCAGAAGTTGCTGAGAATGGAGAATTCGTTGATACCGAAGAATTAGATGATGTTGCCGTAGGCGAAATCTTCATATTATTTTCATGATATTGCCTTTGATATCCCGCATAATGTTGGTGATGATGCTGTTGTTGTTGTTGTTGTTGTTGTTGTTGTTGTTGTCTTCCGATGATGGAAGGGGATTGCGCATTTTTGCACATCCTATCTCTGTCACGATCATTTGGTCTGTCTCCTGTAGTATCATCTTTATCGGGAGTAGGATCTGACATGTCGATTTCTAATTCGTTCGACGAATCATCGACTAATTCGTTAAAATCTGGTGGTTCGTATCTGGAATATTTATTGTCCACTTGACGGCCTTGGGAATCAACGTGTGCACCAACGAGATTTCTTTCATTTCTCTCTTTGCCAGCCAAAGATCTTACCGATATTGGTCGGATCTTGCTAGATTCATTTTGACATGTGTTTACTTGACATTGTATATTCGCGCATTCGTTTTCGATTTTGATCAAGTTATCAAATTCTTTCTTGCCTTTTATCGGATGTTGCTGTTTCATAACGTCTTGTTTCATCTGCATCTGGGATCTACCGCACCGATCATGTTGACCACGAAGCGTTATCACATCTTTCAACGAACAACCAGCGTCCGTGCTGGTCGTCGACGAGGTTGACAACGACGAAGGCGATAATTTTGGATTTTCTTTCTTTTCCTCAAAGAGATTCTCGAAATTCGACTCATATCTGTCTTCCTCTGAATTTCCTCTTTGATATAACGAACCTCTAGGTCCAGGCCAACTTCCAGATAAACTTTTCAAAGCTGCCTCAGTTTCTCTTATAAGAGTTTCATCGTCTTCCGGTTCCTCGCAATGTTTACTTGATTTCCTAGCCGGACTTCCTGAATTTCCCGAAGTGAATGCTCGTTTCTTCTGCGGCAATGATATATTTTTATTCGGATCAACGTCAACCGATTTCCGTATTTCATCGTCACGAACACTTTTTCTTCTTCTTTTGGCAGCAGCTGTGTCAGTCACCTCCATTTCTTTCGGAACGCTAGTTTGAGGACCCTTTTTGTTTGTCAGTAATGGCTGTTGCTGCAATTGTTGTTGTTGTTGTTGTTGTTGTTGTTGTTGCTGCTGTTGCTGTTGCTGTTGAGGTTGTTTAAGATTCGAACTGATCGACTCTGCTTCCAGCTTCCGCTTTTTGAGATGTGCCATTGCATTCTGCCCGCCTGGGACGCTGGTCAGTTCCACCCTGGAACACAAAAATTCCAGAGGATCAGCAAGTCTATTTTCCCATCGGATGATGCGTCAATGCATTCAATTCGATCTACGAGTGCACATTTCTCGTTCATCGTCGGCGCAATCTAATTAACACGGCTCTCGTTGATTCAGGATCAGTTTAATGGATATGAACCGATCGATCCGTACGATCTTCGAATCGTGTCTTCTCAACGTGTTATCTACGTAATAATGTTCTCGAGATCTGAACGATCATGTTTTGAGAGAAATTTCACCTGCGATCCGTCGAGGACACTGTCCAAAGAGCTGTGGCCCATTCCTGTGCAGCAGAAGTATATTTTCCCGATTGCGATCGATTAATCGATAAACATAGACATCCCTCTGAACCGAGGGCACCTTTCGTTTGTATTTGTTTGTTCGTTTGTTTATTCGTTCTTTAATTTTTTATTTTATTTTTTTTTTATCTGCTTTTTATTTTCTTTTTATTGTGAGGTAGAGTTTGTCGAAAAATCAGACGCACGCGCCGAGGCACGCCGCTGGACACGCGCGCTCGCCGAATGAATCGCGGTTGTCGTATGGACGGAGTTTGCGCTACGTAAATGCGCAGAGAACCCTTACACTCGGGGTGCTCACAAGCTACTGTTCTATGTTTAAGTTAGTACGGGGTGGCGATCCTCTACAGTAAAAAGGGAAGGGATAAGGGCTTGCGCGTGTTGCGTTGTAGCTTCTGCTTCGTCGCGAAAAGTGGGGGCGGGTTCTGCGCACTGTCCACCCCCTTTAAGCTTTTCTCGAGCGCAATTCCCGGCCCCTTCTATATACACCCTCTTCGTCGTCTCGCCACCCCCTGGGACACAGGAGAAGGGGATACAGCTCCTAGATGCACACACCACAATTTTATCCTTCTATAAAGGTAGATATATTGCGCACCTTTTCTCCTTCCTCCTCCTCCCACCCCCCACTTCTCCCCTTCCCCCTTTTCTTCCATTATATTGCACTTCGATTTTTTATTTCTATTCTACAATGTATATATATATATATATTTGTTTCTCTATAAGTCTATTTATTTACGTATCCTACTTGCTTTACATCGGAAGAGGACAGAATGTTAAAGAACTTTCTTATCAAAGTAATATATATTTAATCTTAATGCCAATGACATATAATCTGCAAATGAATCTTTAAAACTACTTTTTTTTCTATACGTATACGCTAATATTGGATAGAGAAATTAAATGGAAAATACGTTTTGAAAAAAAACAAACAAAATGTAAAAATCATTATGGTAGAATCTAACTGATTATATTTAAATAACTAACTAAAATGATTATATTTAAATAAGTGAATATAATGTATCATATATAGATGGAAGAGTCAAGGGTTTTCATTTGGCACAAGAGACTTTATAATATTGACTTGCTATACAAGTGAACATAGATGAGTCTATGTAAGGTTTACGGCAATAATACGAACTGACTACTGAAATTAGATAAACGTTGCTTCTAGAAGACGGTCGAGGAAGAGTGGGATCAGCATCAGCGCTTAGCAGAGCTTTCGAGGATTCAGAGAAGCGAAAGAGCTTCCTCTTAAACCTTAAACCTTCCTCAAACCACGGAGCCCGGAGTTTAGAGCGACGAACTCCTACGAAGGATCGCGGTGAATTGTACCCATACCCGAAATCACAAGTTAAATCGCACCAACGGCTTAAGACATTATCACTTTTCTTTGCGGACCGATGCTCACCCGTCCGAGAGTTTTCCTTAGGAATGATAGAGAGTCGAATAAGGAACAAACGAGAAAGAGTACTACCAGAGAGAAAGAGAGAGAAAGAGAAAGAGAGAGAGAGAGAATCCCTTTAGAGTTCGAGGATCGATGCGTCCTCGTAGTCCACCCTCCAATTACGTGCCATCCCTTACGGCCTGCGGGGAATAATTAGAAAGCAACCCTGGCACGGTTCGAGTAGATAGCCCCATGGATGTGTGCAAGACGTAGGATACTTTCGTGATGATCTTCGAAGAAGGTGCCATTGTAATTTCCAATCGAATATACACACATTTGAAGAAAATGAACAACGAAAAGAGGTGTTCCATTTATATATATATATATATAAAAAAAAAACAATATTTAAATAATTGAATTATTTTCTTAATGAAATATTTATCGATTTTTTTAAACGTGGGTAATATTAAGAAAACATCGTGACTTTGAGTAAAGACGAAAAGTCTTGTCGGCTCAAAATCCGTACTTGTCAATTAATTAGCGAGTGCTACCCATGGCTCATGGTGGGGGGAGAGTTGGTATCTAGGAAGATGAACACGCAGTAGAGCGGACGATGGCGCCTCCATTGGAGGGATTAGAGTATTAGACGACGTCACGTCACTGGAAGTCTAAAGGAGCCTCCTTGGAACTGTGCTTTGCGAGATAGCCTAAACTTCAACATCCCCCTCTCCCACCTTCACCACCCCTCTCCTTCTCCCCATCCCCCCGATTTCCTCACCACCCTGCTGAACAACCTCTTGCTTTTCCCTTTCCCAGTTCTAACGTCCTTCTTCGAGCCCTCGACAATTCCAATTAAATAAACCGCTAACGGATCTATACCAACGGATACATATAACGTTCTTAACAGTTTTATTACGATACGTTCTGAAGAAAAAAAATTTGTATTGTAATTTGTTTGAAAATTCGCGTAAAAAAAGATCGTGTTATGATTATTATTATTATTTTTATTACAATTGTCTATTAATTGCGAATGAATATATTTTAGCGATCCGAAGAATCGCTTGAATCGGTCTTGAATTTTCCAAGGGCATTAGAGCGAAGTAAGCGCGTTCTTGGACGAATAGCTCGTACGTCTTTTTCTCGCCAACATTCGAGGGTGGGTAAGGTCGCCAGTAGGCGAGCGCTGGATAATTTAAGGGTCTCTCACGCGTGGATAATGGGGAACTTGGCTAATGCACCCCACTTGGCACCACGTGGATTCACGCGAGTTTTGTGACTCTACTTCCACTTTTCGCACCCTTACACGCCATGTTTCAAAAAGCGTCTTGGTGTTTTCGTATATATATATATATATATATATATATATATATATACACTTAAGTTGATGCGAATTACAAAAACGTAAATGTTATTAGATAGATAAAGATGCACTATATATATACTACCCTATAGATTTGTTTTACAATACTCTTTGTGTTATTTTAATTAAAACTCGTTGTTGTCTACTTTAGCAAACGATATTGCATTGTCCAAAAGTATTTTGAAGATATCTCTCGGTGGTAGTAGTAGTCCGAGGTAGAAATTCACAAAGGAATCTCGTTTAACGACTCTAGGACAGTCCTCGATCGGTCCATCGGTCGAGGGTGGTATTCTCATAGTCGTGATTCTTCGTTTCGCAGACTAACGACACCGAAATTGGCTTTATTTCCAAAGGGGGAGAAGAGCCCGCGATACTCTCAGTATTCTCTCCCTCTTATAGCTTCTTCTACAGGAAGAGGAATCGAAGGGAAGAAGATTTTAAAGCGGACTTCGTGTCATGGAATTACGGGAAGAGTAGAAGAAAGACAAAAAAAAGAAAGAAAGAAAGAAAGAAAGAAAGAAAGAAAGGAAAAGAAAAGAAAAGAAAGAAAGAAATGCTGTGACTGAAGCAGCTGCCCGATTGGACATCGCTTGGTCGCTCGGCTCCGGGGAATAGTATTCCCTTCTCTTCGCTAACCGTTCGTCCATGCTTAGGTCCATCTCTTGCCCTTGCTTTATATTTTCTCTTAGTTCCCTCTCTCTCTTTCTCTCTCTGTCTCTTTCTAAAAGAAGAGCTTTACCCTCGCTCCACGAGAGCTGACGTCTTAAACCAATCGAATTCTTATCAAATATTTAACGCTGTACGGGCCATCGGTTTAAGTGGAAGTTCCATTACCGGACCTTGTTCGGCTAAAAGAAACTTTTTCTTCCATGATATGTGTGTCTCTCACATATTTTGTTATTCCTCTTTATCAACGATAGAGAAAAAATCCGCTTTTCCAATTTCTTCTTCTTATTATTCTTTTTATTTCGATTTTTCGAACACGTTTTGTTATTTTTTGTTTCTCTTATAAGATTTTATAATGCATTGGTTCAATGTGATTGATTCTGGTTAACGAGAGAGAATTCGAGAAATCGACGACAACGACGACGACGACGGGTCAAGTCGTCGTCTAAGGCAAAGGTCGTTTTTTGGGTCCCTCCTAGCCACACGGCAATACGTCACGCGTCCTGGTTTTGGGGCGTAATTAAAGAGAGCGCAGAACAGTATGACGCCTCGGGGCTGTCTGGGGTAAGGAACGGGATGAGGCGGGCGGGCAACGTTGAGGGTATGAGGTATAAGGGATGTGTTTTACCGAGGGATACTTATACCATCCCTACGCGGCACATATTTTCATATAACAAAACCATCTGCGTGCCGCGCATAACAAATTTCAACTGATTTATAGTGCGGATGGGGTAGGCGGACGCAAATTTTCGCTCTTTCGGCAACGTCGTCGTCGTAGTCGTAGTCGTATTCCTCGTCCTTACGAGATACGCGAGTTACATTTTGTTTTTTTTCTTTTACCACCGATTTGTACTAACTTTTACTATATAATACTATAGTCTTCTCTCCTTTTCCTTTTTTTCCCTATATCTTTTAAGAATAAATAGGAACGATATCTTTGATCTATCGGTTAAATGAAAACTGTTTAAATGTCAATTATTATCCAGAGTAGAGAGAAAATGAAAAAAAAAAGATCTTACGTCTTTGAAGGTCTAGCAATGATATCTGCAAGAAATGTGACCCTAAAGGGTTGCACGAGGGTAGTATGGTAGCAGGAAAAGCGGGTATGTACAGAAAGGGACAAAGTGGTGAAGGGGATGTTAAGAAGGGACTATGCTCGAATCAACCGGCAACGGAGCGAGCTATCGGATCAATAGTGTTGTAGTAGTGACAAGTATCAAAGTATGGATATGTATATTTTTATTTTTCCTCGTTTATTAAGGGACACGAAT